GGGGTGGGGGGGGCATGGGGAGCAGGCCCTACCCACGACGTCCAGGTATTGCTGCACCACGCTCTTGGGCTCTGGTCCCAGGAAGACATACACGTCCAGGATCCCACCTGTTGACCTCCAGCTGAGGGCTGGACTGGGCTGCAGGACCACATCTGGGAGAAACAGTCTGGGCTCGGGCCTGAACACCCCAGCATGAGCTGCCGCTTCCCACAGATGGCCAGGCTGCAGCTGGAGTGTGGCTCTCCACTGGGACCCTGGGAGCAGCTGAACCCACCTGTGAGGGTGGAAGGGCCACAAGCACTGCACCTGGGGACCTGCCTGGGACCTCTAGTTCTGGGCCAGGCCAGGCCTGGGGACTCACCCATGGCATTGCTGTTCAGCAGGAAGACCCCATGGGCCGAGCCGCCATCCTCCAGAGCCAGGTAGAAAGGGTGTGACCCATAGAGGTTGGCGCTGGGCTGGGACAGGCAGAGAGAGCACTTCAGCCCCGGTAACCCGGACTCCATGATCCCACCCAGTCACCCCTCCTTACCGAGGGGGCCAAGTCCCGGTTCCAGAGGGTGAACTGGTTCCATTCGGTTCTGAGCATCAGGGGGCTGAGGTGCTCGGCAAGGCCAGTGATGTACCGGGAAGGCAGGGAGGTGGACAGCTGCAGAAACTGGTCGGTGAAGAACAGGGGCGCCACAGAGGTGTTCAGCCTGCAGGGAGACCAGGCTCCTTTGTACCCACACCCAAGGTGGACCCCAGGGCAGGCAGACACTTGAGGCCCAGCAGCCATCAGCAACCAGAAACCAGTGAGGAGAGCCACCAGGGGAACATCTGGCGAGGCTGTGCCCACACCAGCACCCTGGACGGGCAGAGGGCAGCAGCGAGACAAACACAAACAAGGTCGCATTAGAGGACAAGGTCCTAGATGGACACAGAAAGTGGCCAACCGCAGGGCCTATCACATGCATGCCAGTGAGTCCCCTCGCCTCTGTGCCTGTTTCCTCACAGCACCACTGACTTCTGAGTTGTTATGGAGCGTAAATGAGTTAATAATTAGCTCCTGGGGAGAGGTGACAAGTAAGTATAAATAAGACTGTCACCCTTTGTGGTGGGCTGCCCTGGGCACTGCAGGGTGCTGGGCAGTAGCCCCCATTAGGTGTCAGAGCACCCCCGCTGTGGAAAGAAGCTGCCTGCAGAAGGCCTGGGGAAATCGGCCCGGGCAGGGGGCCCCGGGCCAGGTGGCACAGAGGATCCTCTGAGCGCCACAGGCACCATGCCAAGATAGGGGAGGCTGCCACAAGAGGGCCTTGGTGGGCACGGGCTCAGGGTGTTCTGGCCATAGCCAGGCGGCCCCAACAGGGACGGGCCCATGGCAGGGTCAGGGTCCGCAGCAGACCACAGCTGGAGAGCAGTGCTGTCCATCTCTCAGACGGGCTCGTCCGTCCAGGAGGCTCGGCCCTGAGACCCTGACACTGCCTATCCGGGGCACAGCGTGAGGCCCAGGAGCAGCACTCACAGCACACGGCCATCCAGCTTCCTGCGCACCACCACCCCGAAGGGCTCCTCCGAGAACTCCACGCTGTACAGGGGGGATGGCGCCCGGCTATGTGCATGAGGGGTCTCCAAGGGCACCTCGTAGCGCTTGTTAGCGGGGTCTTTGATCTAGAAGAGACAGTAGGCTCAGCCCTGGGGGCTGCTGTCCAGCCTTCCTGGCCTCTCCCTCTCTTTAGGCCTCTGCTCCAGGAGCAGCACCCGTCCTGCACGACCACGCACCTCCTGTGTGTGCATGAACCTGGGTCATCCTCTCTGAGCCTTGGGTTCATCATCTACACTGCCAGAAGGAAACCACCCTCGGGTTGCTGGGTCAAATACGGAACACCCAGTAAACCTGAATTTTAGATAAACCATTAATGGTTTTTTTTTTTTTAAATCTTTAAGTATGGCCCAAATATTGCAGGGAGCGTCCTGGCCCTGGAACAAAGCCACTCCTGCAGGGAGGGGTGCTGTGTGCAGGGTGGGGAGCAGCAGACAGAAGGCCCTGAAGACCCTGCCGCAGGTGGGCACTCAGCAGCTGGTACCCCAATGCCTGGCCAACCCCTGCTGACTCCCTGGAGGAGGCACGATCCCACCTGCCCTCACCCTACCTTCTAGAGTACCTGTCACGTGGGCCTCACTGTTCCCATGGGGCCCCTCCGTCTGCTCACACCCCAGATCCCAGCACACTTTAGGGCCCCAGGAACCCCTGAAGGGGAGTCTGTGTGCCTGGGCCTCTCACGCCCAGACTCCTGCCCCCACCCCACCGTGAAGTGCAGGCGGGTCTCTGTCTCCATCAACACGTCCAGCCGCAAGGTCAGGATGTCCTTGGGGAAGAAGGTGGGGGTAGCACGGGTCAGGGTGGCTGTGTAGCCCAAGTCCGAGGAGCTGAGGTTCTGCAGGCGGTAGCTTGGGTAGCTTGGGGGGAAGAAACACCAGGGCTGCCCCAGCAGGCGGCCCCCTGGGCGCAGCCCTGCAGGGACATAGCAGCACCCACGGGCTTCACACTGCTCCTGGGTGACAGCCTTGTTGGGGGCACAGTCAAAGCGGCTGTCAGGAGGGATGTCACACTGTGCCGGTGCTGCTCCAGGCTGGCTGGGGTGTGCCCGGGTGTGCCAGGGCTCTGGCCCGCCGGCTCCCGGCTGGTGAGCTTGGGCCGTCCCTTCCAGTCCTTGGGGGAGGTCTCGCAGCTCTCGAGGGACCACCGGAAAGTCACAAAGCAGGATATACCCCAGGAGGACAACTGCGGCCAAGGAGATTAGGGTGCAGGCTCCCGCTAGCAGCCGGGAACAGGGCGGCCACAGCACAGCCATAGTGGGCGCCTGCCTTCCTGGGCCGTGCGGGAGCTCCGGGAGGCCTGTTGAGAGAGGGGACCAGCTGAGCAGGGCAGCCAGAGACCTCTGGAGGATTCCACCAGGGGGCAGAGAGAGGATGGGGGCGCTGATGAGGACAGCTGGAGGGGAAGGGTGGAGGACAGACACAGGGTGCTGCAGACCAGGCAAGGAGGAAATGGGGTGCTGCTGAGAAGGGGAGACACCAACATGGGTGCCACAGAGAACGCACACTGCAGATGGCGATGCAGCACCGTGCAGACTGAGAGAGGAGGGAGGAGAGGCGAAGGGGAAGAGGCGTGTCCCAAAAAGGGGCCGGTGGAACAGCACCCACTGAGAAGTCTTCTAAACCGTCACAAACGATATGCCTTTAAGTACAGGAAGAGCTAGTGTTATAGCTCAGTGGCACAGTGAGTGCTTAGCATGCACAAGGCCCTGGGTTCAGTCTCCAGAACCATTAAAAAAAAAGTACAGGAAGAGCTGCGTGTGGTGGCACACGACTATGATCCCAGAACTTGGGAGGCTGAGGCAGGAGGATTGCCGTGAGTTCGAGGCCAGCCTGAACTACACAGTGAGATGCTGTCTTAAAAAAAAAAAAAAAAGTACAGGAAGAGCGCAGTGTGACAGATAACAAGCAAAGTCAGCAAGCTTCAACTACAGGAGGTGATATGAACCCCACTTCTGCAAGAAGGTATGGCCCAGGCCGGTAAATCTCAGCCACTGATAAGTCAGTGGAATAGTGCCCTCAGGGGCCTGCCATCTCTTTGGCTCCTTTCTTGATGCTGGCACAGGGACACAGCACGTGAGAAACCTTGGGGACTCAAGGATGGCCACACCACAAAAGAGAGAGGCCTGAGCCCTGATGGCTTTGCAGATGGAGCCCCAGGCTCTCCCTGTGGCTCTCAGGGAGACCTGCCTGGGGACATCTGGAGCTCACGGGAACAGAGACAGGTCAGAAGGTCAGAGTTTGATGGTGCCATCAACAAGATTGTTCCATTTCTTTGGCCTATTACTGCATGTTCCCAGTATTGTATGAGGAATCAGCCCAGTCCTCCCAAGGAGCAGCAGGCACCAACATGGGGTAAACAGGCAAGGAATTTCTACAGGAATCTTTGATTTCATCGACAGAAAGTGGGGCTAGGACAGGAAGGCTGGGAAAGACACCACACTCATGCCAGTCTGAGCCCGTGGGAAGGAAGAGGAAGGAGGTCAGGTCACACTGTCCCAGCAGTAAGGCCACGGTGAGGGCATACTTAAGGCACAGTTGGCCACGGAGTCCGGGTCTTCCAGGCACAGCCAGGGTGGATTTCACAACGCAGTGACTGGGTGCCCTGGCCAATGCGGCTGTGTGCGACCTTCTTACTGCCAGTAACATGCCCTGGGTGGGGAACAGCCACACCAGCAGGGGTGACACACAAGACTGTGTCACAGAAGGGAGCCACGAACATTCTGACCAGCAGCAGTGCTGGGAGGCCACCAGGGGTCATTTGTGAATCGGGCTTTCTGGGGTGGGAGTGAAGTTTCCCCCCCACATTTCTAACATCAATTTGTGGGAGGTTTTTCTTCCACCAACCGATTCTTCATTTCTCCAGACACCAGCTGGGTGTCCCATAGTCCAATTTGGTGGTGACACTGACTCTCCAGTTAGCACAGATCCCACAGTTAAGGGATGGGCCCCACAAGACCGTACCTCTACAGCAGCCAGCTGCCATCCCAGGCTGTCGGGTAGCAGTACCTCTATTAACTGGCTATCAACTTGGGGGCTTACACGAGCCCCAATCCAGCCTCCCTAGCACACTAGAACAGCTCACAGGACTCGGGAAGACACCTTACGGACCTTTGCCATTGTTTTGGTTTCCATTTTTTCCCCCTCAACAAAGTCTGTAACAGATGTATAGTGTGACACTTGGTGGGGCCAGCAGAGCTTCTGGGCACGCCACCCTCCCAACACCTCCCACCTCTGTGCTGTTCACTCATCTGGTCTTTAGGGGTTTTGGAGGGATGGGATCTATTAGTAGGTATTGATTAATTATTGGCCATTGGTGATGGACTGGCTCTCCAAACCTTTGTAGGACTAGGTAGGTGGTTGAGTGAGGCTGAAAGTTTAAACAAGTCTTGGTTTTTCTGCCCCCTCAAGCTGTCTAGGGGTCACCAGCTACCTCCTTAGCACTGGAAAGACATCCCTCTAGAGTGTCCAAGGGTCTGCGGAGCTGTGTGCCAGGAAGCAAGCACGGAGACCCGATGTTCACTTTGTCCTGTGCTGCAGAGCCCCAGCTCCTCCGGCCCTTGTAAGCCACCGTGGTACTTGTGGTGAGACTCAACTCTAGTGCTTAAGACTTTTGAGTACAGGGCAGGGGTCCACAGTCAGGGTCCCCACCCCGGCAGGGTCCGGGCAGCTGCACCGTTCAGGCACGCAGAGGAGACTCAGGGCACAGCCAGGCCTGAGCAGTGCGCACCCCGGGTAAGGAGGACCTAGAAACAGGGAGCTAGCGGCTACCCTAGCCCTACAGGAGAGTTCTCAGTTCTGCTTTCAGCGCCCAGTTCAGAGACAAATGGGGAAGGACCAAAAGGTCAAACGCGCGTTCTGGGAAGAGGCTGGACCCGCTGACCTCCCCAACGCTGGTTGGGTTCCAACGCCAGCTTTCTGACACCCGGGGCTGAAGTTTCTCATCCTCCCGGCGCCTCAGTTTCTCCCGAGAGACACGGCACAGAGCCTTCCACGGTGAGCACCGCGGAGATGTGCAAGAATCCGGGTTCCGGGGCCCGTCCCGTTCCTGGGTTCACCGTCCCCGCTGCTCCGCTCAACATCCCAGTCAGAAATCTCCGACAGCTGCAGGCCGCCAGCCCAGCCCCCTGGAGAGGTCCAGC